GGTGCATCCTCTTACACTTCGTGACATTGAATCTCAGCAGCCATTTCTTCGACCATTCTTGAAGCTCACAGAGAGCCTTCTGCAGTTCTTCCCAGTCCGCTTGGTTCTTGATTTCCCGAAATAACTTGGCGTCATCCCCAAACATTTGCATGGAGGAGTGTACAAGGTCAGGCATGTCATTTATGAAACAAACATGTCATTAATGAAACAAACAAACAACAGCGGGCCCAATAGACTGCCCTGTGGTACCCAGCTTGTGACAGGTACAGATGATGATTTCGTGCCATTAATCACCACACACTGCGTGCGGTCATGTAGAAAGTCTTCTATCCACGCTAGGACATTTCCCCGAATTCCGTACCCTTCCAGTTTGATTTTCAGCCTTTCGTAGGGGTACACTGTCGAAAGCCTTGGCAAAATCTAGGTATATCTTGTTAATATTACCACCCCGTTCCAGAATATGGGTCCAAATATTCAATACCTTGAGCAATTGTCTTAAGCAGGAGCGCCCCAGCATAAAACCGTGTTGGCAATCCTTTACAAGGTTGTTTCGAAGTAGATGTTCCATCGCGGCATCACTAATAATATTCTCATTTACTTTACATATTATGCTGGTCAGGCTCACCGGTCTATAGTTGTTCATGGAGTGACGATCGCCCTTCTTAAAGATGGGACTCACATAAGCCATTTTCCAATCACTGAGGACCTTTTGTTCATCCAGGCATTTACAGAACAGGATCTTCGGGGGCTCGGCAAGCTCGTTTCACAACTCTCTTAGCACTCTAGGATGCACCATGTCAGGGCCGGACTCTTATGGACCTTTAGCCTGGACAGTTTATTTCTTATACCCTCTTCTGTGAACACAATGTGGGTCAGTGCTGTGTCGAACCGTCTGTCCTCAAACGCAGGGAGGTTAATCGCATCCTCTCTTGTGAACACCGAGGAAAAGAAGCTGTTCAATGCCTCAGCTTCATCCTGGTCAGAATCTGCATAACTACCATCTTCAAGCCTCAGGTCTGATACTCCTACACGCATTTTTAATTTCGATTTTGCATAGCGGTAAAACGCCTTTGGGTTTGACTTGACCTAACTTGCAACCAGCTTCCGGAACTCTTTACAGCCCTTCTACACTCTACATTTGCTTGGTTTCTGGCTCTTGCATACATCCTCCTGTCCTGCTCATCGGTTGACCTAACCCACGTCTTGAATTTCTGGGTTTTCTTCTTAACTTTGTCGACCGCCGCATGGTTCATGTGTAGAGATCCCCTCGTATTCCTAGAGGCACTGGGTTTGGTCTTGGGTATACGTATATTTATCGATTAAATGGGTCACTTTACTAGTTATGATATTCAGCGTAGTGTCTGCTTTCTTGTGCCTTAGTGAATCAGGCCTCATCTCTTCCCTCATCCCGTTGTAATTTCCCTTGTAATATTTGCACCTTGCCCTGGCTTTATATTGAACTAGGTAACAATTAAATCTGAATGACAACACTACATGGTGACTGGTGCCAACTGGGGCAAGGTGTTCCAGTATGGCCACCATACCCTCCGCGTTTGTTATGGTGAGGTCAAGTGGCTTGGGTGTTTGCTCCCCTCAGTAATGTGTCGGGTCTCTAACATATTGGAACAGAAAATTATATTGCGGAGTTTCTACAAAAAGAGTAGCAGGGTCATTCAAGTCATTTGGGATGAACTCGTTTCTCCAGTCGATGTCGCCATAGTTAAAGTCCCCCATGATAAGGAGGTGGCTGCATTGTCTATTAAGGCTCTTAAGTTCCTTTGATTTAGTGGGCCACAGGTTGGGGATCTGTAGATACACCCGACAATAAGTAAGTCCCCTCCCTTTAATTTCATTTTACACCACTTGGACTGGCTCTAAGGTCTTGCCTAGCATAGATAACCACATCCCTCTTGCAGGTTTCTTGAGAAAGGTTCGTAAAATAGCAATAATAAAAATAAAATTAAAACCCAACAGTTGAACCTAACAGACCATCCATGGCTACACCATCCTGCCACATGTAAGTATTTGTTAAAAAGAAAAAGATGAAAAAGGGTCTATTCAATGACTATAGAAGAGATTTTAAATATTTTCCTATATATACACACAAAGCTTTTATCAAACTACGTTTTCCATGCAACAAATGTATTGCCGACACACGCAAATTATATATATATATATGTATATATATATATACACACATATATATATATATATATATATATATATATATATATATATATATATATATATATATATATATATATATATATATATATATATATATATATATATAAGGCTCAGACCTACCCTGTTCGTGATCTACATTAACCATAATAATGAAAATATATCGAGCCACATTATCGAGTATGCGGACAATACGAAGATACATGGGAAGGAGGCAACCAAAAGATCTGCAAGAGTTTTCAAATGGTCGCAACACTAGGAAATTCATTTTAACAAAGTAAAATATAAAACTCTGCATGTGGAATACAATAACCAGAAACACAACTACCCTGTATTAACCCTCCTTTGGAAATTTTTGACAAGGAAAAAATATCTAGGCATCATGATAGATCAGTCACTGAGAGCTGTGCCACATGTGGGAGCAGCAGTGAAAAAGGCCAACCGAAATTCAGGAATTATAAGTGATATTTTCGAATACAACGATAAGAAAATGTTTCTACTATTTTAAACGTCAATTGTGCGTCCCCATCTGGACTACTGTATACCAGCATGGAAACCAGACCTCCAGATAGAAAAGGTGCAACCCAAAGCGACTTGGGTTATTCCTGAATTAAATCATCTGCATTATCCAAATACGCTAAGAACATAAGACTGACAATTCTTCAGACAAGACACTATACTGTAGAGCGGATCTCGCAGATATATTAAAAACCTTGATTGGGGTGGAAGACGACTTGTACAACCAGATTAATTAATCTTAATAGAACGATAGAATGACTAGCGTGACCGCAGTACCTGTGTTTGTATGTCTCGGCCTCGATGTTGTGATGCTTGTCGTGAGATAAATAAGACGAGGAAAGTCCTACTGGGAAATTCAACCTCCTCACCCCATCTCTCCTCCACACCACCTTTCTTCCACACTACCTTTCTTCCACACAACCTCTCCTCCACCCCACCCTACCTCTACCTCACCCCCACCTCTCAAAAACCCCACCTCTCAAAAAACCCCACCTCACCTCTTTCCACTCCTCCCCCCACGCCAGGTTACCTCCCTTCCTCCTCTCCCCCACTCCACTTCTCCTGCACCTCTCCTATTTCCGTCCCCACCTCTCCTCCACCCCCCTCCCACCCTCTCCTTCACATCTGCGACCTGGATGTCGCCATTGTGGTCTGGATTTCGTTTCTTGACGTGCGTTAACACTCAATTTCTCTCTCTCTCTCTCTCTCTCTCTCTCTCTGCTGTATTTATACCGTAGTCAGAAATAGTTGCCAGTCATTGAGGTTAAGGCATCATGACTTTATTTAATCTTTCAAGGATTTCTGGGAAAGTAAAAAAGCAAATTTTTTATGTTGTTTACCTGCATTATTCTCAGGTTTGTATGTGTACAGGTGTAATAGTGTACAGGTGTAATATACGTGCACGTGTAATATGCTTACAGGTGGAATATGTGTACAGGTGTAATATATGTACTAATGTAATATACAGTATGTACAGGTGTAATAAGTGTACAGGTGTAATATGTGTACAGGTGTATTATATGCACAGATGTAATATACATACTGATATAATATACGTACAGGTGTAATATACAGTATGTACTATACAGGTGTAAAATGTGTATATGTATACATTAGTTTCGATTTGATTTGTGTACGTTAAGCTCGTGAATACAATTATGAAACCCATTGGGGACGATAGCTTAAATTATCGTCCTTAAGGAAAGATAGTTTAAAACATCGTCCTTAAGGAGTTATATTTAAATCACCGCCCTCAAATTATTAATGTTTTAGTCTTCATTTAATAAGATGTTGGCATGGTTCTATTTCTGTTGCATGGGCTGCCAGGCTTTAGATTCACAGATATTTGCACGATGAAATTTTTTTGGTAATATTAGATGTTAGAAAGGACTTAACTGATTGATTTAATTAAGGTAAAACAAAATAATGTAAAAAAAAAAAAAACATGGAGACGCTACCTAACCTATAATACGTTCACTTAGCACTCTATTGTACACTCAAGAGCCGCTGGGTTCTTCAAGCTCACGTCAACACTGATTACACTTACAGTATTTATTACCTTACCAGAGCTTGTGTTGTCCTCTCCAGTGAAACACCAACATAAACATTGACTATAATTAGATCTAAGTGACTCCATCACTTTTTAATGCTCTTATAAGCAGTTTTTAACGCACGAAAATATTCCAGAATACTACAACAAGAAATAATAATAACAATTGATAATAAAAAATCTTGGACTTTGAACCTTAAAGAAGCGTGAGGAAATTGTATTCGCAGTGGTTGTGATGTGCGATTATTTACGAAAAATCAAAAATTTTCGTCTGCTAATGCATGAAACTGTCGCCAAGAGTGAACGAAACGTAATGGGGATGACCGGTAAGCGCACTCGTATTCGTTCCAGATGAAATAATAGTTGCTGATTCTCGTTTTTACATATTTTATATTTGATTTCATGGTATTTTCGGTATGGGAACATAAAGCGCTTATTAGTGAAAAATAAAAGTGATAATTTTATATGAAAAGAAAGATACGATAAAACAATACAATGAAAAATGGTAACCTGACAACTTCCCAAGTCAGCAGAGCTGGAACATCCTGCGTTGCCAAATGCAGGTCAATCATTCCCAGTCTTTTCAAATAATTCTACCTTTCATTTATGTTATCCTTTCGTTCCTTATATCACTATTTACAACTATGATATAAAAAAAATTCTTATATATCTAAATTGTTGACGCAATTTTATAATTATAGAGCGACAGAGGGAGAGCTAACAATGTGGTGGCTAGAAGCTCGGGTGGCGCATGAGCAGTAATATGCGCTCCAATCAAGAAGGTCTGGAAGGTGGCTGCCAAATCTTTGATCCCAAATTCCAGTGGAAGAAATTACTAGTTTAGGAAGAGATCGCCGTCTTACTGAGCAGTACTGGCATGAAAAGTGTATCGGAACTTGGCAGGAAGTGTAGGGACTACCATGCACCGCCTAATCGATAAAATCAATGTTTTACCAGATAATACAGACGCCAAACCCTCAGTGATTCACCACAGCAAAACACTGACCTCACAAAGATGTCCTCGACACTCTCATCACCCTGCCCAATGTCCTGTGTGAAGACATACACCGTACAGTTACTTCGAGAATAACCTGAGAAGAGAAGTAGAACAGTGTGGTGCCAACCAGTAAGCCACCCTCCACCGCCACACCACCACAATCAATTCTGCTCAAAGTGTCACGACAGCAACCGACCTACACATCGAGGTTTCTTAAGAACATGTGGTGAGTAGTTGTGTTCTGTTGTTGTTATTGTGGCGTTACTGACACTAGCCCCACTGTTAAGATAACTGCCTGTGTTGTCATCAATTAGGTTTAGTGTGTGCGTCGTCGTGTTTACATACGCTATGAAATTTCGCCTGGGAACTGCGACGTGCCAGGGATGGTGGTATGTGGGTCAGGGTGGCAGCTCATAGTTATCCAGCAATACTCTCAGTGTGGCGTCATGGCGAACTTCAGCCCAGGGAGTCTGTTATACGCGGATACGATATTCATATAAGGAACTCTACTATAATAGTTCACATCATTTAATGAATATCTAATTTTTATTGCCGTAATTTTTCTTCTCAGGGTTAGCGGAATATATATTACAGTATAATATTTTCATGATCCAAAAATAATGTTTTCATGCAGTGGTTCCCTCCCCTCCCCAGGCGGCACAGGGTTCCCTCCCCTCCCCAGGCGGCACAGGGCTCCCTCCCCTCCCCGGGCGGCACAGGGTTCCCTCCCCTCACGGCTGATGCACACACGTAAACAAAACCATCTTAATCTATTAATAGTTCAGTGTTAAGATGTGTAGCTGATGTAATAATTCTCAAACATTTAATTTTTCTTCATATAATATTGTGTGTAAACATAAACTTAATTGTATTTTACAACAATGATTTGGCCTTACAGCATATCTACATATAGAGATCTATGTAATAACGTAGACCTCAACATTCGTATAGTAAACAAAGCATAAATTAACATGGAACACCTGAAGATTAAACATCCCAGTTCATTTCACTCGTAGATTAACCACCTTAACGCTACCTGGGGAAGGTTAAATTTGGTTAAGTAGATCAGTTTAGGTTAGGTTAACATTCGTGAGAAATATGCTGAGATGTCTAATCATGAGGAAATCAATTAAATATTTGACTGATTTTTCTTTAGGGAAGTTGTGTTCTTCATACAAAAAAAGTTATTTGTAATTATAACTACTATTGACACAGAGGTCACATGCCTCTCGGTTCAACAGTTGACGACCCAAAATTTCTGAGTGAATTTTAATGTAAGATAAACAACCTCCAGATCATCGAGGGACCCCGCCCATTATAAGTGACTGGGGAGATATAAGGGTCTCGAGTTCCGGATGTCTTGAGTGACCTTCACCTCTTCCTGGTTGCTGCTTTACCTTGTCACCCGTGTGTGTGTGTGTGTGTTTGGCTCCAGGTGGTTCCTCTTATAGTGACCTGGAGAAACTAACATCTTTTCCTTCCTTTACTGTCATATAGCTATCGGTTATTTACTTTTGGATCACCTGAAGATTAGACACCCCAGTTTATATCACGTGAAGATTAGACACCCCAGCTCATATGACCTGAATAACCACCTTAACCTAACCCAACATAAATTACTCAAACAACCCCCAGGCAGCGTTAGGATTTAAAATTAATCTTCAGGTGAAATAAGCTGGGGTGCCTAATATTCAGGTGATCCCTACTTTATACATTAGTGCTGAGGTTTATTTCTTTAGCATTAAAAAGAATAGCCCCAGTGGTCCTTTTGTTTTCAAGGACGACTCACGTAATAAGGAGAAATTCAAAGAAGAAAAAAAAAAGAGTCACGCCCGTACAGTATTTCGTTTTGCCAGCAGACTCTTGACACCAATGACCTTAATCCTATAACATCACCAGACACAAAACCCTCGACCCAAGTTTTATAAAATATGTTTCTTTCCTCCCTCTTTTCTTCCCCTCTTCCTCCTCCTAGTAACACTATTTATTACTATTTCTCTTTCTATTACTACTTCTGTTACTACTACTATTATTACAACTACAAATACCTCTATTAGTAATACTATTACTTTTTTTTTAATAGCGTGGCCTCCATCCCCCTTATAGCCACACCTTCGCCACTATTTTATCACACTACTACTGTTACTACTTCTACTATTCTGTAACTACTACTACTGTTATTACTACTGCTTGTTACTACTACTACTACTACTACTTTTTCTTGTTGTTTCTACTACTACTAATTACTACTACAACTTATTGTTACTACTTACTACTACTACTTTTTGTTAATTCTACTTCTACTACTTATTTTAGTACTAGTACAACAACTACTATTAATACTACAACTAATCTCACTAGTTATCTCGAATACCAAAGAAAAATTATAACCCACTCCTACAATATATAATTTTGACTTTTACACTTTCATTTTAGTGTAGAGTGTTAAAAAGATATTATTTCCTTCACGCCAGGTCCCTCCCTCCTCTCTCTCGCACACACACAGTCACCTGCCTCTCTCACGCCTAATACCTAATTACCATACTCTAGCCTGGGTCAATCATGTGATAATCCGGAGATCCTTTCTGTCAATCTATCATGCTGCTGACCAAGACATGACTTTAACATAAGAACATGAGAATGGAGGAAACTGCAGCAGGCCTATTGGCCCATACTGGGCAGTCCCGATAACACCCAACCCTTATTGCTCATAAATCCATCCAACCTATGTTTGAAGCTATCCAGCGTATTCGAGTTGATGATGATATTTGGTAATGATATTTGGTAACTTGTTCCACTCATCCACTACTCTATTTCTAAACCAGTGTTTACCTATCTCGCGCCTAAATCTAAATTTGTCTATTTTTAAACCATTGCTACAAGTTCGCTTCTGGTTGGATAGTCTGAGTACCTTTGTTATATCACCTTTGTTTAGCCCTGACCTCCATTTATACACCTCGATCATATCGCCCCTCACTCTATCACGGTGTTAAGACATGACCTTCATTTAACGTCAAAATTGATCATGTTTCTGACCAAGACATGACCTTTATCATTCTAGTACATAAATGCAAATTGACATAATTAACTCACCCAGGATGACGGTGATAGATAATAAGAAATAATCATTATGTCTGGTAACAGTAATAGTGACGTACTCAAAATGACTATCACATTGCCCCCCCCCCCCCTCCGTGTGACCTACTGACGGTATCAAAAACACAAGTCCATTTTAAACTGTACAACAATCAACAAAACATATTCTCGCTCACTTAAACCTGACACATATAGCCAAATTTACGGGGGAAGTGACATAATGACTCATAATTAGAATCTATGGCTGATTTTAAACCACCGAAGGGAAGCAAGTCATATATAAAAGACATTGAGACATATTATATCTAAATTTTATAAAAAGTGTGATGTTTTTTGGTGTTAATCGATAACACTTTGGTTCAGGGTTACTGCGTTGCTCCTCTTCATAACAGCTTTAGGTTAAAATTCTAATTGTGATAGAATGGAGGAACATGTAATGACGTAATCGTGACGTCACTATGGGCAAACGATGACGTCATCTGTAAACAGCATAAGAATTCTGAGAAACTTGAATTTATTAAAGTGACACATGACTTATATCCCTGATGGACCCCAGAAGACACATTATTTTTTATTCCGAAGGTGACACACACACACACACACACACACACACACACACACACACACACACACCGAAGAACCACATCCGCTTGTGTCATATATACCACGTAAACTCTTCAGAAAATAAAGTAATAAAAACAGAAGGCGAGGACATGACACAGTCCTCTTGACACATGACCTCGCTGCCTCTCCTCTTCATAGGCAGTGTATAAGGTTAAGGGGGGAACTCATTTATCATTTACCACGGCATTAAAGGTAAGGTCGGGGTCAAGGTTTTAGGATGGGCGGGGGGGGCAGGGTGGGAGGGGGTTGAAGGTTTAAGATGGTCGGGGAGGTTGAGGGTTTAGGGTGGGAGGGGGTTGAAGGTTTAAGATGGCCCGAAGTCGAGGGTTCAACTACCAATTCCCTTTCTAGGACATGAAAGTGGCCCAACTTCAAAGACTCACGGAAGCTTTATAATTATATCAAGTAGTAGTAGTAGTAGTAGTAGTAGTAGTAGTAGTAGTAGTAGCTACCTCTCTCCGCTAACTAATAGGACCCTTGGGCGATTTTAGTGTTGTTTAGATGGTAGGAAGGGTTCGTGTTTACATCAATTGGAGAGGCAGGGTTGTTAGGGGCTGCGTTGGATAAGAGGTATGGAAATAACGTTAAGGGGGTTATAAGGTTGGTTAGGTATTCTGTACTTATATTTAGGGGGATATAAAGGGTGTTTAGGTTGGGCGAGGGGTTCTGTACCTATCGTTAAGGGGATATAAGGTTGGGTAAGGGGTTCTGTACTTGTCTTCGAGGGGATATAAGGGATTTTATAATTACAGTTAAGGGAACTGGTAAGAGAGGATATTGGGTATCTGTATTTACCTAAGGGGGACATGAGAGAAGATTAAGGGGGTACCATATTTACCCAAGGGGGAGTTGAGGGAAGATTAAAGGGGTATCATAACTAAAGATAACTTCAAGGTAGGGTAAAAAGAATCTGTACTTATGGTAACTTAAAATCTCCTTTAAGTGAGAATCTCATTAAAATGTGAATCTCCTTAAAATATGAATCTCCTTAAATGTGAATCTCCTTAAAATGTGAATCTCCTTAAAATGTGAATCTCCTTAAAATGTGAATCTCCTTAAAATATGAATCTCCTTAAAATATGAATCTCCTTAAAATGTGAATCTCCTTAAAATGTGAATCTCCTTAAAGTGAGATTCTCATTAAAGTGACAATCTCCAGAAGACGAGAATCTCCTAAACGCCAAGACCTTAACTCAAACAAAGCTTTTACCTCGTAAGAAGAAAAAAACTTCACCGACTACTTGAGCTTTGAGAAGAGTAATTATCGCTTCTTTCATTTCTTTCTTTCATTAATTCATTCATTATATTGGGATAACCTGAAGATTACACACCTCAGCTGATTTTACCTCAAGATTAACCTCCCTAATCTAACGTAAAACTAACCCGATTTAACCTAAACTAACCTAACCTAACGCAAAAGTAACCTAACCTACCCTAGCCTAGCGCAAAACTAAACAAACCTAACCCCTCAGGAAGTGTTCGAGGTAAATAATCTTCAAAATAAAT